CACACACACATCCTCACACACAGATATATATATATATATATATATATATATATATATAAACCACTGCACTAATTTGAACTTATACGCCTTTAAACAAAATCAAACATTGTACCTTTTTTCCATTGGCATTTAATGTCTCTTCTTGATCAAGAGCAATGATTTTCCTTTTCTGTAAAAGAATTCAGTTTCGAATAAAAATATGTTTTTGATATATGCAATTATAATTATGACAGAGAAAATTTAATTTTTAAATTTTGTAGGGCACAACACTAATCTAAGTTATTATTGTCTTCCTTTTTTACATCAGCAGAATCAGAGGGTTTTTTTTTTTTTTTTGTAAAAGATTATTTCCTTTACCTGTTTACTGTGAAAACTAATCGATCCTCTGGAGTTAGATTTGAATAAAGGTGTAAATATGCTACTTGAGGATGTTTGTATACGAATATGACTTATCATGGCTTTCATTGCTGTTCTAGAAGAGATTTTTATTTTTTCTTTTCGATGTATTCTCAAGACTTTAAGAGGGCTGGGTGGTTGTGGACATTTTCAGACTATATTAATCTCCTTTAGAAGAAGAGCTCAATATAAAGATATAAAAAAGTGTTCAAATTTTAAAACAACAAGAGGCCCATGGGCCACATCGCTCACCTGAGTAACTTTGGCCATGCTGTTCTTTACCAGATTTCCCCCCTTTTAATATACCTATTGTGGCCCCGCCCTACCCCCGGGGGTCATGATTTGAACAATTTAGAATCTACACTACCCCAGGATGCTTCCATATGAGTTTCAGCTTTTCTGGCCCAGTGGTTCTTGAGATGAAGATTTTTTAAGATTTTTCTTATGTATTTCAATGAAAAACTTGGATTCCCTATTGTGGCCCCGCCCTACCCCCGGGGGTCATGATTTGAATAATCTAGATTCTATTCTACCCCAGGATGCTTCCATATGAGTTTCAGCTTTTCTGGTCCAGTGGTTCTTGAGAAGAAGATTTTTAAAGATTTTTGTAATATATTTCAATGTAAAAATTGGATTCCCTATTGTGGCCCCGCCCTACCCCCGGGGGTCATGATTTGAATAATCTAGATTCTATTTTACCCCAGGATGCTTCCATATAAGTTTCAGTATTTCTGGCCCAGTGGTTCTTGAGAAGATGATTTTTAAAAGATTTTTCCTATATATTTCAATGTAAAACTTGGATTCCCTATTGTGGCCTCGCCCTACCCCCGGGGGTTATGATTTGAACAATTTAGATTCTACACTACCCCAGGATGCTTCCATGTTAAGTTCAGCTTTTCTGACCCAGTGGTTCTTGAGAAGAAGATTTTTAAAGATTTTTGTAATATATTTCAATGTAAAATTTGGATTCCCTATTGTGGCCCCGCCCTATCCCCGGGGTCATGATTTGAACAATTTATAATCTACACTACCCCACGATGTTTCCATTTAAGTTTCAGCTTTTCTGGCCCAGTGGTTCTTGAGAAGATATTTTAATGACCCCACCCTATTTTTGTCTTTTCTTGATTATCTCCCCTTGTAAGGGGACTTGGCCCTTTATTTTAACAATTTACACTCCCCTTTACCCAAGGATACTTTGTACCAAGTTTGGTTAAAATTGGCCCAGTGGTTCTTGAGAAGAAGTTGAAAATGTGAAAAGTTTACAGACGGACGGACAGACGGACGGACGGACAGATGGTGGGACGACGGACAACGGGTGATCAGAAAAGCTCACTTGAGCTTTCAGCTCAGGTGAGCTAAAAATGTATGAAATTTTTGTTTGCCAAATGATAGTTGACAGCTTAAGATATCATATCTAAAAAATTAAAGTTATATCTGATTGTTAATTAGTTGACCCCCCTGCCTCCTTAATTGCCCATTGTTGGCCCATCCTTCAAGCAAGTGTTATGACTTGATTTTGATTGAAAATTATATCAGGGAATTTTCCAAGTTTTATCTTTTTCTGACCCAGTGTTAATTCTTTAATGACCCTTGAAAGTGGATTATTTCAATTACCTGGATTCTATTCATCCATGAATAACCTCCCAGTGGTTCATAGAGAGGAAGATGAAAATGTGAAAAAATTCCGACAACACCATAGCCACTAGCCCAGGTGTCATGAATTGCACAATTGTGGAGGAAACACCCTAGCTCATCCTAAACATGCATTTTGTGTGACCACTAATTAAACAGGAGTAGGGAGAAAGTATTACGAAAGTTTAACATCCTCACAATATGATCAATCATCCTTACTTCAGAAACAAGGGGACCCTGAGAGCAAGAATTTCACAATTTGGTGAAAAAAATTGTTGAGAATCTGAAAATGTTAACTCGTGACAACGTATGTCGAGGGATGATTATACAGAGTGATCAACAGGAGGGCATCGGGCAATTTAACAGATGATCAGAAAAGCTCATTCGAGCTTTCAGTTCAATTAGTTGAGATAATAAAAGAGTTGTTTATTACTTATGACATTTCTCTCAAAAATTATTTTACGACTCGTGTCGAAAAAATCAAATGCTTCCTTCTACAAGTCTTTGAACTTTTTCTATTTTTTTTAAACACTGTTCCAAGGAGCAACAATTTGAACAAATATGAAGGCACATTGCATAAAAAAAGCTTGGGCATTTTTTTTTCTCATTTCCGTTTGGACTTTTTGAAGAAAAATGATTAAACATTATAAAAATTAAAAAATATATACATAATCTCTAAATTTACTTAAAGAAAAGAAAATATTATTTACCTGAACAGAATTTGATTGTTCCACTTTTTCTTTTAGCTCTTCATTTTCCTTAATGAGTTGACGGTTTTGATCTTCCAGCTCCTGCTTAATTTTACTGATATTCTAAAATGAAGTCGACAGTGTCTCTTGTGAATTAGCAAAAATGTTGGACACATTTCATTTACAAGTTCAATAAAATATGCACTTTGATCTGCACTTACATAAAAAATAGAAAGATCTTAGAAGTATACCTTCAGATCCAAAATTTGGTTAGTGAGACTTTTTATCTTTTCCGATTGCATTTTGTTTTCTCTCAAAAGCTCTTTGTTTTCATCTTCTGCATCATGGATTTTCCTTTCACATATCTGTATAAATTGAATACGTACAGGTAAATGAAATTTGATTTATTATAAATATTTGACGATTGTTTTGATTGATGACATTGCAGGAAAGTTTCATGATTAAAACTTGTCAGACCTTAATTATTTAAAAACCCGCATTTATAAAGTAAATATAACGGAAAAGCAAACTTGGGTTATTCTTCACTTTGTTATAAATTTAAAATGCACTTCTCTAATTAAGACTAAGAGAATTGTTATTTGTGATTTAGTGATTTTCCTTTCAAAAAGGGCTTAAAAATTTTTACTCAAGAAAATATCTTACTTCAAGTTTCTTTATGTCAGCTGCTTGAAGCTGAATGACATTTTCAAGATCTGTAATTTCTTTTCTCAAGCTTTCTTCAGTCTGTTGTAAATCTTTTATTCTTCTTTCAAGATCTTTTTCTTCGTTGGGATGTTCAACTTCTGTTTTACTCTCATCTGACACGACCTTTGTTTCACTCTCATTTGACACATCGTCAGAGGTTCCTTCATTTGGCGTTGGCGTTTCTCCTTTTTCACCTTCCACCGTCTTTGTGGTTGCCTTTGATGTCTTTCTGTAGAAATTTGAAAGTAAAGTGATTAAATTATCTCTTATCTTGATAACGAACAAGTAATATCTGGAATTCCCTGTGCATTTAGTTGTTGTCATCCTTAAGTAGGTTTTAAGTTCATGATTTTGAATGTTAGTTATGAAAAAAATATTAACTTTTCACAAGAGGCCCAACGCCATATCGCTCATCTAAGTCATCTTAACCCTCTTGATTTTTAAAATAAAGATTTAAAAGGATCTTTACCCTCTCAGCTCAGACAATGACTTAGTGGGTCGTAATCTAATCTTAGAAATTCATATAAGGAAAATTAAATTTTCAAAGAAATATGTCATAGGTTTTTTTAACACGAGCCCCACTGGCCATTTGCTCACCTGAGCACATTGGCTAGGAAAAGGCAGAAATCAGTTAAAAAAAAGAAAGGTTAAATATAAAGGTGATTACAAATACCCCCTCCCCGCGGAAAAAAGGGAGTGGGCAAATTTATTCACATTTGAATCTACACTAACTGAGAAGGCTTTCATATTGCATTGACTGATCATGGCTTTAGAAGAATTTTTTAATACATATTTGATCTTCCATTATGGCCCAGCCCTATCCCCATGGAGTATGATTTGATCAAATTCAAATATACCTTATCTGAGGATACTTCTGAAATATTATGATTAATAAAGGATATGCTATTCTAAGATTTAATGATTTGTCCTATGCATTCTAGTGTAAAACTTTGATCACCAATGATTGCCCCTCCCTACCCCTCAAGGTCATGATTTGAAAATCTTGAATTTAAAATACCTGAGAATGCTTCAATAAACAAAATCATATATATATATAATATATATATATATATATATATATATATATATATATATATATATATATATATATATATATATATATATCGGCTATTGTGGCCCCACCCTAGCCCTCAGGGGTCATGATTTGAACAAATTTGAATTTACATAACTTTAGGATGATTCCAAATCAATATCACTATTCATGGCTTTGCTGTTCTGGAAAAGGGGATGTGTGACCCTACCTTGATCTATGTACCCCGTTGCTCATGAATTGAACACACAAGTCCTTGTTAATAAATAAAGACTTTCACGTTTATTCAATTTTGTAAACAGTTTTGTTTAATTTTAGATAAAAAAAGAAATACAAAACTGTTACAAAACGGCATTACAACTGTGTTCAGGTTACTTTTAAGTTACCCAGTTTGTACTATTACTGAATAATTTTTTTAATCAGATTGTTTCCTAAATGTGTATTAAAACATACATCAAAACTTATAATGTATTTACTTATCAACACATACATGCACATCCATTAAGTCTTCATACAAAAGATTATGCTTACTTTTTGGAGGTGCAGCTCCTGTTGAATTCCTCCCAATCAATTTTCCCCTCCACCAACTGGACAAGCAAGGAATTTCTATCTTTCTCTGCTGCCCCACTCATTTTGGTGAAGTGGGTCTTCTTGATCTCCCCTTTCGGTTTTTTTTTAAGTTCATTGGACTTCCACGAAGACACAAAATCTTCAATGAGTTTCCAACCCTCCTTAGAAGACATACATAATGCTAACATACAATGGTATACATTATGCAGTTTTGTTTTTTTTATCCCTAGTATCGATGCACATGTCTCCTTCCACATTTTTATTTTGGACGCCTTGGGTGTGGGCAGTTCTTCTTCTGTCAATTTCTTCAGAAGTTCTCTTCTGAAGAGAAATAGCATTTCTGATGCTGAGGTAGGTTTCCCCAATTCGTGACAAACATTGTGGTCGAAGCCAAGTTTAAGGGCCTCAGTGTCAGTCAGGTTTTTATACAGATTTATGTATATTCTCGGTGTCTTCAATAGCCCTTCATCAAATAGCTCCTGAAGAGCTATTCTTGAATGATTGCCACCAATAGTTTCGATTTCAGGTGAACCACTCTTGTACAATTCCTTCAGGTCAATATTTTCTTTGAAAACAATCCCAAAGAAAATAATATTGTGTTCTGGTCTCATTTTGAACGACTCTTTCAAAGCATCAACATGCTTTCTATCTATGTTCCTTAAGCATCTCGATGGATGTGGAGCCACAAGGTTCTTAACATGAACCTCAACGCAACGACCTGTAAAAGAAGTACAAAGCTGATAAATGCTCAGAAATAAATAAACAGAAACTTATTTCTATTAAATATGAAAAACTTCTACCTCTACATTCTGCACAGGATAAAGTCAGATCAAATATATAAAAATTTAACCAAAAAGGAAATTAATGTTTCATGAAGTCAATTTAATGTTGAGAATTTGATTATGCTCTACTAATTCATTTATCTAGGTCAAAGAAAGATGTTCCAGCAGTATTCTTTAAAGTTGATATTAATGAAAAGACTGATCACATATACTAATGAGCATGAGATATATAAACTATAAATAATTGTTAAGCTGTCAAATATATCCACTTCTTTGGCGTCACACTTTGAAAAAAAAAAATTACTCACATTTTTTACCCATATTGAAACTAATCAAACTAGTATTATTGTGAAAATGTTATCCATTTCCAATTGCTATAATATTGTGGTTAAGAAAAAATAATTTCTCTGAAATTTCGCAATTTCATTTTAATTCCTTTTTAAAATGTAATTGTCCAACATATCCTTTGTAGCTGTGAATTGTTTTTTTTTTTTTATTTATTTATTTATTATCCATAGCTTTTTATAAATATTCACAAACTATGTGTTTTATTTTCATTTATATTTTTTAGTAAAAAAAAAAAAAAAATAATAATAATAAAATGTCTATCTGACTTTTCTTTACAGATTTTATTATATATCTATTTTATGCATTTATTAACAGCAAATTTTTCGCAATTTCATTTCAATTTCTTTTTAAAATATAATTGTCCAACATGTCCTTTGTAGTTGTGACTTGTTTTTTGAATATACTATCCATAGATATTCACAAGCTATGTGTTTTCAGAGATATTTTTTGGTAAAAAAATCAAAATGTTTATCTGACTTTTCTTTGCATACTTTATTAGATATTCATATTATGCATTTATTAACAGCACATTTTTATTTTTAAAGCATCTTATTTGCAAATAAATCATTTTTTTTCATTTTCTATGTTAAAAAAAATTATCTTACTATGTGATTAAATATTAAGTTAACCTCCTTTACTTTTGAGGAAGGGGGGTGATACTTAAAATTAATACCTTACAATAAGTCATTTATAGATAGCTTTTAAATGACTTACTTTACAGTATGTGAAAGAAAATTCATTTTCACTTTCAAAAATTTTAAAAATTAAACGAATACAAATTTGTAGGATGGAAAGGCAGTATTACTACAAGAAAAGAGAGGCAGCGAAAAGAGCACCAACAAAGTTTTTAAGCGTCATTGTGGATGGCATGGATCAATGTAAGCAATTTATTTTAGGCTTTAGTTGTTCTTTTTTCATCAATAATATTTGAGAATCAATTTCAGTTATATAAAGAATTATTTATTATTTTAGGAATGACTCTAATTCTTGGCCAAATTATTCGAGTATAACCTGGTTTGGGTCAGTTTACGCTTTATAATCCGCGAAGCGGATTATAAAACAGCGTAAACTGACCCAAACCAGGTTATACTCGAATAATTTGGCCAAGAATTAGAGTCATTCCTTATAATTTAATTCTAAAATCATTAAACAACTGTGGGTGTAAAATTTCGTTGCTTTTTATTAGTTCAAATTTGCCGCTCAATAATACAACCCTAGTAACGGAAGTGATGGGTAGCAAGGGGAGGTAAAAACTGATACATAGTCCTAGCAGCCATGTTGTTTGTTTACATGTGGTAAGATCCAAGTTACTGTTTGAAGTTAAAGGTACATTTATTAAATCTGGAATTTTCCATGAATCCCGAGGACTGGAAATGAGAGGATTGCATGGATACAGACGATTCAGCTGGTTGTCAGGGGGGTGTGTCCCCATACCAAACCAGGTTATACAGAAATAATTTGTGTTCCTTTTTGGATATTAACCAATCAGAGGCAAGAATACAAACAAAATTAAATTATTAATATATATCTGCGTTTATCATTTTACATGTACATGACTGTATATAACCTAGGAATAAGTCTTGAGAATTAATAAGGTTTGATCTACATGTATTATAATGTGAAAGAATCATGCAAAGTGTAATATTCAAAGGACATAGACTCCCTTTAAGTTGTGTCCAGAAAAATCACAAGTTTGTCACGTACTTACAAGTACATGTAATATTGTCTTAAACGGGCCTTTTGTTCTAGTGCTATTTTTATTAGAATTTTAATGTTTCTTAAAATTTCTAAATGTAAGAGTATGATATATAGATATATGATTATAAAGTCTTATATTTTTGTCCAATATTTTCTCATAACAATTATAAAGCATAACTCGACTAAGAAATGCTAGCTAAGAACACTTTTGGATTATATAGATGAAAGCATTTTCACATATAATCAAACCTCTTTCCTCAGAGTATCGTTTCAAAAGAAAGCTCTTTTTTGCAACATATTTTCACCTCACAGTCCACCTTTTAAAAAAAAAAAAAAAATACGTTTAAAATTGGCAATTGAATTTCGACCTCATAATAATGAGTCATATAAAATGACAGTAAAGTTCGATCAAATTTGACCAATACAGTTGAACTTTGAACAAAATACCACGATACCTCGAATACCATTACAAATTGAAGTTATTTGAAAGCCCCAGCCACTCATTTTTCAAATTCTATAAATATTTTACACCAAATATATCGAATCCTTGGATTCTCGAAGTTTTTCTCATTCCCATTTTCTATGACATAATGAGGTTTTACTGTATTTACAAACATGAAGCCCTTTGAAATTGCTTTTTACAAATAATTTTTAGACATCTCTTGGAAATACTTATAAGTTATATATGTTGAATATTAATTTATAAATAAAAGACATGAAAAAAGTATTTTGTAAGAATATGCCCTATTCAAAGCATAACAATTTGGAAAATAATGTTAAAAATGCTAATAAGCAAAGTACATGTATCTGTTCAATGTTTAAGAAAACATGCAGTCATTTAAAAATACACTTATCGTCATCAATTCGATTCTTTTGAATTTCTCCGCTTTATTCTGTTTAAACTTGTCTTTCCTTTTTTATTTTCTTTTCGGGATAGTATTAAACTTTTTAGAAATGAAAAATATAGGTATATATAAAATCCCTGTTGATAACATTAAGATAGATATATTATATCTATCTTAATGTTATCAACAGGGATTTTGCTTAAAATATGTATATAAATTTTAAAAATACATTTACAGCCTGAGAAAACTAGGGAACTTTCAAAACGTACCTTCCTGAAATAATGACTCACAAATGTACACCGCATTATCACATTTATAAAAATACTTGCAAAAACACCCCAAAATTATGGACAAACTGATGCAGTTGAATATAGATAGGAAAAACTGCAATCCCGAGTAAGGGCAAGTGAGTTTACTGGAATAAAGCTTAGATAAAAAGAAGAAAGGACGTTGAGACCAAGCTTCAAACTTTCATTTTAATAAATAATTAAAAAAAACATAAAAAATATCTTTGATTAAAACAAGGCATATAATGTCTTTGATTAAAACAAGGTATATAATTCCTGAAAATATTTTTTAAAAATTTTCATTAATTTATTCTGTTTCAATTTATTTTCAAACTATTTTCTATTCTAAGTTTCATAATTATAGCTTCTTAAGCTTCATTCATGCTGTAGGTCTGAGATTATATGAGTGTATAGTGTAGAGAAGATGTCAAATGCAGTCTTATTAAGTGAAATCCATTCATCCTAATTGTCTGTATATGAAACAATATTTGCATTGCTGTTTGATTTGAGACTCATTTTTATCGAATAACTGATTTCTGAATTTCATTTCAGCGAAGAGTAACCTGCCACATTTTGTAGGAAGGACAGCAAAGGTACTTTATATATATATATATATATATATATATATATATATATATATATATATATATATATATAGTTATATATATATATATATATATATATATATATATATATATATATATATATATATATATATATATATATATATATATATTCGATATGCGATTTCTCTAGATTTCATTTTGACAAGCTAGCGCCTCTAATAAGTCAAGAAATATTTTTTTTTTATTACAGGCAGTAAATTCTGCTGACCAGTTAAAAACTCACATTTCTGGAGTAATTGCCCATGGTCAAAATGAATTTTTTACGTTTCTTGACATTGGGCAATATCCCCATGACTCCAACTTGACGATCAACATTATTCTCCAGATACTCTTCAAAATAAAAGATATAATGGTAACTATTCTTTTAATTTGTTTTATAATATTGGTCAGAGAACACTTTTATATAAATATATTGCCAAAGTTCATGAAAATTTAATATGAATTAGATAATATTTGTTGTTTTTTTTTTCCAGGGAGGAAAATTGCCACCCACATTTTATTTACAGGCAGATAACTGTTGGCGTGAAAACAAGAACAAATTTGTGCTTGCATTTTGTGAATACTTAGTGCATATAAAAGTCTTCAGGGAAGTAAGTACAATGTACAGGATTTTTTTTCTATGTTTATAAACAATTTGTACTTCAATTTCTAAATATTGCATATTAAATAAGACTTTAGTCTATAATCCATAACTATTGAACATTTTCATTTTTCTTTCTGGAATTTTGAGACCAATTTCAAACAATTCTGGTATACTTTATCAACATGATCAATGAAACAAAAATTATTGTGTATTTCATAGGGTCTGTACAATTTTTGAAAGAAATATTTTTTAACTTTCGACTTCAAGAAGAAAATATTAGAATAATATGAATAATAATTATTACTATTGTAATAATAATAATAATAATAATAATAATAATACATGTAGTAGTAGCAATAATAATAATAACTGGATGCGATCTCGTTGCGAGCAACGAGTGGGTCTTCAGACCGAGTTTTGATAAGAATTTGACTGAGACTTTCATTCAAATATAATGATATAAATAAATTGTTACGACGAACAGTTTCGTCTTAGTTAAGTATAACAAAATATTGATCGTTAAATAGTTATTGATTAAAGGCTTTCGGGCCCCCTCGGTCCCTTATATTTAGGGTCAGCCCTTTTTATTGCTATCTGTTTTAGTCTGTCGTCGTTCGTCGTCAATTGGTCGTAAACTTTTGAGCATTTGTACACTCTTCTCTGGAACCACTGAACCAATTTCAACCAATTATGGCATATGGCATCTATGGGTGAAGGGGGGTAAAAATTGTGAAATGCATGGCCCCTGCCCCCCTGGGATCTGAGGGGTGGGGCTAAAACCATCAAAATTAATTAATGCAATCTTTAAAAATCTTCTTCTTTACTCCAGGACATCGAGCAGTCAAACTGTTTGCATGATTGAAGTAAACATTGAGCCCTGTACCAAAATTGTGAAATTCATGGCCCAAGGGTCAGGGGTTCTGGTGCTAGGGCAGAGCTCTAATGATTATATAGTGAAAATGCATTAATTCCTTAAAAGTCTTATCCTCTGCTCCTAGGTATTTAGCCAATGAATTAAGTACATATTCATGACGAATAAGAGTGCCTCTTCCAAAATTGTGAATTTCTTGGCGCCTGGGCAGGGAATCTGGTGGTAGGGTGTTGGAGGCTCTAATGATTATATAGTAAAATGCATTAATTCTTTGAAAATCTCCTCTGCTCCTGGGTATAAGCTGATGAATTTAGTACAAAGTTATGATGTTCAAGAGTGCTTATTCCAAAATTGTGAATTTCATGACCCCTGGGTCAGGGGTTCTGGTGTCAGGGCGGGGCTCAAATGAATATATAAAGAAAATACATTAATTCTTTGAAAATCTTTTCTCTACTCCTAGGTATTAAGCCGATGAAGTAAGTACATGGTTAGGATGAGGAACAGTGCTTCTTCCAAAATTGTGAATTTCATGGACCTTGGGTCAGGGGTTCCATGTTGGGGGGGGGGGGAGGGGTTATTTATTATATACTGAAAATATTGATTGTACATGTATGTTTTCTACGTCCCATTCGAGAATTTTTCACTCATATAGAGACGTCACCATATACCGGTGAAGGGCTTCAAATTTTTACTCGGCGCTCAGGACCATTGAGCAGTAAGGGATCTTTATCGTGCCAACGCCTGCCCTGACATAGGGCTTCGATTTTTAAGGTCTCATCCAAAGGACCCGTAACTTTCACTTCAAAGTGCCGAGTGCATGGCGAAGGAACAGTTGCTACCCGTTTTTATCGACTTAGGTCTGTCGCGCCCGAGATTCGAACTCACGACCTCCCGGTCACGGAGCGAGCGCTCTACCGACTGAGCTACCGTGAACCGTATATACTGAAAATAAATAGATACTTTGAAAATTAATGCTGTGAAAATCCTCTGCTTCTGCATATTAAGCCGTTGAACTAAGTACATAGTTTTGATGAAAAAGATTGCCTCTTCCAAAATTGTGAATTTCATGGCCCCTGGGTCAGGGGTTCCTTGTGGTGAGGGGGACTTATTTGCATGTATTATATACTGAAAATAAATTAGTGCTTTGAAAATCTTCTCCTCTGCCCCTTGATGTTAATTAAACAAACTGAATACATAGTTATGATGAGAAAGGGTGCCTCTTCCAAAATTGTGAATTTCATTGTCCCTGGGTCGCGGTTCTTGCGCTTGGGTGGGGCTCTATTGATTAATTAGCAAAAATGCATAAATGTTTTGAAAATCTCCTCCTCTGCCCCTGAGTACTTAGCAAACAAATTAAATGCAATGATATTAATGTGAATGTATTAAAATATAAGTAAATGTGCCTTTTCTTTGCTTCTGGGTATCTATGAGGCACACTGAATAGACAATTATGATAAGTGAAGCAAACGAGAGTTACTCCCTTTTGCTAGATGTTGTTAATCAAGAAATCCTTGTATATAATTTAATTAACAGGTTTTTTGATTGAATGAGAATTCAAGAAAGAATGTTTTATATATATAGAAACAAATAAAAATGAATGTTTGGTTTAAATGAGCAATGCGTGCTCAAAGTCAGATTCATGCCTAGAAAGCATTATAAAAGATAAAAGCATTATAAAAATTATTTATGCATGCATATTTAGCGAAACTTGTAATTGTACACAGCATGTTTACAATGTGGTGATCTAAGTTATTGTCACTGTAGAAGATCCATGGTCAACAAGAGAGTGGATATAGTTGTTTTATACTTTATCAAAGTGAACAAAGATTCACAGAGAGCCAGGGAGACTTAATGTAATTAGTGACAAATGGCAAATAGCCACGTTGTATACTCAAGTCTGCGTGTACTAAATTGTAGCACTAGACAATTGACAAAAACATATCTGTATATATTGAATACCTTACACAATAGGCAAGTGTCGATTGTATTTGTATATTTTTCATTTATTATCATTCCTGTAAGACTTAGGAAAACCAAGTATGATCCCAAGGAGATCACTCGGGTCTAGCACTTTACAATAAGCAAGGGCATTTTAACCAGATTTTTTAAATTCTTGGGCAACATTTCTTCGTCTTTCAGTTAATTTTGTATTATACCTCAATGGATCCTTTACAGTGTTGTATTATACTCAGGTAACCGTTAAGGCCCTTGGGCCTCTTGTTTCTTAGTAACATCTTCAAGCTCTCTTGATTTTGAACACCTTTTCTTCAATAACTATTCAGAAACTCTTTGTTTCCGAGATATTTGCAACAAAAATATTTAAGGACCAATCCTTCAAATCCTTAATGGGGACATTCAGCAAAAAAAAAAAAAAAAAAAAAATGAAAGGTTAGATATTGTTCAATATATTTCTTCGATTTTTTTTTTTCATTATTGTTTTTTAAAATATCTCCCATTTTTGAGAAACAGAATGCCATATAATTAACATTCTGGCCTCTTATGACTCCTAATGATGTAACTTATTATGTAAATTTAATATACAGTTTTAAATTGTTGAGATAAACATTTTTGCTTCAGTAATGTATAACAAAATATTGATTGTTAAAGAGTTATTGATTGAGGACTTTGGCCCCTCTAGGCCCCTAATTTTAGGGGCCAGCCCCTTTTTTCTTGGTATCATTTTAAATACTTGGGGTTTTAAACACTTTTTGTTCAACAAGTATTCAGAATTTTTTTTCTCGTTTCCAAGATATTTGCAAAAGAAATGCTTCGGGACCGGTCCTTGAAATTCTTATTGGGGACATTCTGAAAGGTTACACATTGTTCAGAACATTTTTTATTTTTTGTTCAATTTTACTTTCAAAATATTTTCCTCTTTCGAGATATAAAGCGTCAAAGATTTAGCATACTGGCTCCTTGTGGCCCCCAATAATGTAACGTATGACATAAATATCATAATACGTATATAGTTGTACATTATTAAGACACACAATTCTGCTTCAGTAATGTTAAACAAAATATTGATTGTTAGAGATTCAAACAAAGATATACCTTCGCTGAAATTTTCAAATAAATCGATCGAGCAAACTCCTAGAAATCTTCTGCACAAATATTATAAAGAAAAAAAAACAAGAACATTAATAAACAATGAAATAATGGAAAGGTCTGCCGTTAGAGACGAAAGACCCTAATATAAATAAATTGATAAGTCAAAATAGGATTGATATATATGTATCAAAAAATCAATTACAGGTTCATCTATCGTTTTTGATGGTTGGCCACACGCATGAGGATATTGATGCTTGTTTCAGTAAAGTGGCCGATAAATTGCGGAGAAATGATGCCGAAACACTAGATGATCTTATTGAGCTACTTCCAAATGTCAAGGTCATCAACTTCATATATGACTTTCGGACGTGGATTCAAAACAGTATATGCGATTTGAGAAAACATACTCGTCCCCTTCATTTTAAGTTTAGAAGCAACGAGTCTCTAGTGGAAACATTTTATAAAGGAAAGTATGACTCTCCTTGGAAGAAACTTGAAGGAGGTATAATGGCTCGAAACAACCAGCAAAAAATTATCAGCATTCGAGGCAGTCCAAAACTGTCTCCAATTAACTTCGATGGAATTGGTTTAGAAAGAATATCAAGCCAGTTAAAGCATTGGAAATGTTTATTCAGTGATCAGATTAATCAGACCCAATATCATTGGTGGGAACGTTTTCTCAAGCTATGGAAGAAATGTGAAGAAAATTCTTCTGAACGTCGCAGGCTATTTTTTGCGAATGCACAATGGATTCTTCCAATGCTACCCAAACAGTTGAGTCATGATGAAAACGAAGAAGAGAACCTACTGCCAGACACAATACAGAACATGATGAATGATGAGCTTATTGAACCTGTTGTTTTGAGCAAGTAAAATAAGATATATGTTGTAAATGAAAAAAAGTATAGAATTTACCATCTAAATCATTTTTAATGATTTTTATAATGATAATGATTCACAAAAACGTTGTTGATTTTTCCCAAAGTAAACAAATACCTCCCCAAAGCTTCTATATATCCCTTATTCTACTTGTACTCTAGAATAATTTTCTTTATCTAAGTTTTTATAACTGTTTAAGAAAGAATTCATGTTTTGTTGTCACATGACAATGATAATTGTAGGAAATGAACTATCATTGCTTGTATATTTCCTCGATAATAAGAGAAATGTAAGCAGAGCATGGTAGGTATGTCAGACTGCTATTTGGAACTCACAGAGTTTCAAAACTGTAAAAAAAAAAAATCTAGCGAATATTTATAGCTTGTTATGTTATGTTTTTTAAGTCCACGTTGATGCATTTTATCGACTCAACCATTGCTTTTATATAAGCATATATGAAAGATATATATATATATATATATATATATATATATATATTCTATCTAGTGGTACTATTTGTCACTGTGTCTTTGATACCTTTCGTATTTTTCAATATATTTTTAAAATTTCCATTTTCCATTGCAGCTTCTAAAAAAATGATAGATTATCTAGCATTGTTAATTTGTTTAAGAAATGTTTTCATCATCATTGTAAGACGGTTGAAAACCACTCTGTATTATCTTGGTGAGTTCACCAATTCTAGTAGATTTATTTGTAAAAGCATTTTTAAGTGAATTTGATTTGTATTTTTGGTGGAACCACCAAGATCATTCGTGATAAATTCACCAATTTTTTGCCTATATGTGTGATTTAACCTGATTGCATGACAGGAAAGTGGTGGCTTCACCAACTTCTTCCTTATTATAATGCATTTAAGCTATTGGTTTGAAATATTTTTGGTGGTTCCACCAGCTTTGTTCAGTGCAATTTTTTCACAGAAGTTATGTTGCAATTAGGCTTCACTTTTGTGAATTCACATTCACAAGATTGTGGTTACACCAGCATCAGTTCAAAAATTGTTGCATTTTGCCTATCATTATTTACGGCGGATTCGTCAGCTCATTGCTTCAATTAGTTTATAAAATTAACTTTATAACTTTATTATGGGTTATAGTTGGTTTAATTGGTGAATTAACTAGCACTGTTTATTAGTTTAAGAAATGTTTTCATCGTCATTGTAAGATGTTTTAAAACGAATTTGTATCTTGGTGACTTCACCAATTCTAGTTGATTTATTTATAGAAGCATTTTCAAATGATTTTGCATATGTATTTTTGGTGGAACCACCAAGATCTTTCGTGACATTTTTCACTTCAGGGACGATATTTAATCATTCAAAATGGTGTATTCACCAATTTGTAGCCTCGATATATGATTTAACCTAATATGACAGGAAATTGGTGGCTTCACCAAGTTCTAATTAAGCAATTGGTTTAAAATATTTTTGGTGGTTCCACCAGCTTCGTTCAGTGCAATATTTTTATTTAGGCTTTACATGTTTTTGGTGGAGTACGTTTTTTTATTATTAATATTTACTCAACATTGTAGTTTCTTATAAATTGGTGGATTCACCAGCATTGTTTATTAGTTTAAGAAATGTATTCGTCGTCATTGAAAGATGTTTTTTAAAATCACTGTATAATCTTGGTGACACCACCAATTCTTGTACATCATTTACAGATTTTGTTGTTTTTGTATTTTTGGTGGAACCACCAAGATCGTTGTTGATATTTTTCATCTCAGATTTAAAATGGTGTATTCACAAATTTTTAGCCTGAATTTGTAATTCTATTAACTGCAAATCTGTTTTCACTGCAGAAAAGTGGTGGCCTCACCAATTTCTTGTTATGTCAAATAAGGAAATGGAATAAAAAAATATCTTCATTTCTGAAATTGCCTTATATTCATTTTTCATTTTGTACTGAAAAAAGAGGACACGAATAGAAAATCCTCTTTCTTAATGGAAACAGTTATATACATGCATGTGGTGGGTTTATCACGAAGTTGCGAATGCCTGAGAAAGAAATAGTTTAAACTTTTTTTAAAAAATTAAAATTCATTTAGAACTTAGAGTTAATATAATTAATGGTACTCCTGTTAAAAAAGAATTGTATTCAATATTTCACTCATTTTCAGGAAATATTTTATGAAGCATAGTGGTGATAGTTTATACTTCATACTGCATGCATTTATTTATATTTGCTAAACGACATCGCAACATGTGATACTTAAATCCGATTAGATTTTATTTTTCAAAGTTGAAAGAAGGGGGGGGGGGGCAACCTCCAAAACAATCCTGCGTACCAAGGGTCTGCGCTACATGTGTACCATCTATCTTTTATCTGATAGAATCTTCCGTACAAACCCGAAAGAAGTCTCAGCCATTATAGGTTATTGGAGATATCCCGAATTTTTAAATAACAAAACTATAGACCTATCAGGGATAGAATTTAACATTAATTTGTGTGCTATTAGTATTTTGTCTCAGGGTAGGCAAATCAATGAAGAAAATGTTAACGATAGGATAACCTGTGTAACCTTTCAGGGTAACCAATGAACTCGTCCATGGATGCATTGACGGCCGTTGTAAAACTTACCAGAGATTCCTACGCAAAGGAAAGCGCGAAATCTCTGTAGAGAAACTGTTGCTGCTGCCTAGTATTATTCCATTGTCATCAAATAAAACCCGATATTAAACACTTAATTTCTTTAAATATACAGCCATTTTCTAGATAAGCTTCATTTTTGTTTCTAGAAATGTTTCTGTTCACAAAAAAAATATATTTTCGTTTTTTAAACTGAGGAAATCGATGACCTAGCATAGTTTTAGATTACCCAAGCCCCTCTAGGGCTTGATTAAAATGTGTTTATTTGTCGTGTCATCATCACTTCCGGTCGAACATTATCTGTTTACATTTACATTTCCAAATATTTTTCTTTAAATTCTTTGCAAATTAGAAAAAAAACCGTTCACGGTGGCGCAGTCGGTAGAGCGCTCGCTCCGTAATCGGGAGGTCGTGAGTTCGAATCTCGACCGCGACTGACCTAAGTCGATAAAAATGGGTAACAACTGTCCCATCTGAGCCATGAGCTCGGCACTTTGAAAGTGAAAGTTGCGGGTCCTTTGGATCAGACCTTAAAAACCGAGGCCCCTTGTCACGACAGGCGTTGGCACGATAAAGATCCCTCACTGCTCAATGGCCCTGAGTGCCGAGTAAAGGTCAAAATTTGAAGTCCTTCACCCGGTATATGGTTTACGTCTCTATATGAGTGAAAAATTCTCGAATGGGATATAAAACAATATACAATCAGTCAAATTAGAGAAAGTTCACGTTCTCAGGAACTACCATGGAATGAGTAAGAATATTTCCATTTTGACGTAACTGAAGTCAAAAAATAGTGCAAAATTTTTTTCCCAAAAATTATCAGTAAATGACGCTAACGCGCTTAATGAAATATACCGATGTGAAGCGTCGTAGTTCATGAATTCTCAAAAATTAATTTCATTTCTTAAAAAAATCACTTAGGTGTAACACAATCGTATCCAGTAGCGAGTTCACGTTTGGCTGTTTGGCAAGTACAGGGTGTTCAAAAGATAGCATCTTAATCATTTGCTTTGTTTTGGGTTTTTTTTTTTTTTTTTTTTTTTTTTTGGTTTTTTTTTGGTTTTTTTTTTGGTTTTTGTTATTTTTTTTTTTTTGGTTTTTGTTTTTGTTTGTTTGTTTGTTTTTTTTTTTTTTTTTGAAATATTTAAAATACAGAAGAACTTGAAAATGAAATTTATGACTAAATCAAAGCTCTTTATGCAAAATAGATAGGACAGAAACTTATATAGTATATTTTCGATAGAAAAACAGAAAACGTTCCAAATGAATCATGGATACAACGAACAGTTCTCAAGCTCAAAGTCCATTGAAACAATGCAAATCGAGAGCAGAACAAACACAGACCACCAAAAACATCATAGGTGCTTCGGAGGAGTAAGCATCCCATGTAAATCGGTCACACCCGCCGTGTGCTTCTTGTCATAATCGGGAAAAAAGGAAAAATCGGTCGACAATTCAGTGTGTAAATAATGGCCTAACAATTAGTAGGATAACGTCAGTAAGCATTTTACTTAATGATACGTTGTATTTGCTGACTTTCTAAGGACATTGTATTGACCATAAATCTTGCCAAATGATGACTTTAAATGAGACTGGTGATATCCTGGTTTCACGATCCTGTTTGTCAATAGCTTACCTCGTTTCAGAAATTGTTCATAAGTAGACCATGCTCTTGCGTATCAAATTAATTGGGAGACAAAACCCATAAGCAGGTGATAAGGGCACATGTATATTGCTACATAAGAAAGGGAAGTTAACAATTGAAAAATTGAAGTCATCACGTTTATCATAAATGTCTGCAATTAGGCTAACATTAGCGTCTTTTTTATAGTAAAATATCTAAATATGAATCAGATGTGTCAGATTCTGTTGTATCTTTTATTTCAAGCTCACTGGGATATATCGAGTCAACATATGGAATAAAGCAACTATTGTTAATTGATAGTACGTCGTCGATATATCTAATTGTCGAGTTGAAGGCTACACCAAGTGTTATCTTCTTTTCATGTAGAAGATTTCGAATTAATTTTGCTTCATATGAATACAAAAATAGGTCTGCTAATAATCGGGCGCAATTGGTAACCTTGGAATTTCCAACAGATTGTTGGAAGACCTCATCTCTAAAATCTACATAGATATTGCCAATCAGAAACTCAAGCATCTTTTTACTATTCACTTCAGAGTACTTGTGTGTACAATCAGAATGAGATGCTCAGAAGGACTTGGATATAAAGGGATCTACTAGGCATAAACAAAATGAATCGTATATAAAAACTCAAAACGTTAATTCAGGAAACTGAACAAACTTACAGAAAAAGATTGGAATTATACAGTGTTTGGGGAAATTGACAAAGCCGCCGAAACGACATAGGAACTTTCTACAGAACA